CTCAGTAGAGAAAGCAGAAAAAAAACTTGGGAACACTCTGAACAGAGGTTCTCTGGCAGTGGGCGTTTGGACGAGTTCGTCCGACGTTGGATAAGCCCAATCAGCAGGATTCGACACGTGCCCAGATTCCCGGCAAGAGCACAGGAAATCACCCTACGACGCTCCAGGCAACGCTATGTACACACGCAATTCCGCTTGTAAGCCGTTGTCTTGCAGAGTGAAAGTAATCGTGGTTGCAATGGTTGCAATAATCACGCGTCTCTAGCTTCTTTATCTCGCCGTTTCGAGTGACGAAAGGTATATTCTCTGCGAATGCGGACAACGATGCCTAAATGCACAGAGGCATTTCGCGGACAACTCGGTCGAGGTAACTGTCTTTAAGTCGATCACTAACCGATCACTGTTGGGAGGGTAAGGCAGCTGGAGGCGGTCTGTTCCCCCTCTGTTGACACCGCCCCGACTGACTGTGACTATATCACATATGTATTCTGTCGACAACAACACAACCGAATTGAATTCGAATTGTTCATTGTAAATTCCGATTAAACACAAACTCGGATAGGTGTGCTGCGTGAGATGTGATTGGATTGATCTGATCGATTAGATGATAAGCCTATTTGAGCAATTGTTCTACGGCATACAGTATGATAAATGTGGCTCGAGAAGCAGTCACAGTTGCGCAGCATGAGTTCCGTTCAACTCGATGTCGTGAACAGAACAACTCGCCGCTACGTTCCCATGGAGTGGCAAACTGAAATATCACAGCATGGTGACTGTGTTACAGCTGAAAGCTAAAAATTTCACTGTCGCCCACCTCTTCAGGAAGATGTTTCCCAAGAGCAGCAAGCCAACTTCCAGCTTCACTCATCGCCTCTCCTTGCAGGCAATCTGCTAAGGCCAGCCAGAAAAGCATCCGCAAGTACGTATCGCTGCTCGGTGCAAGGAAATCCTGAAACTACTTTTCGAGCACTGAAGTGGGGTGTAGCAAGGAAAAGACTTCCCAGAATAATCCAAGCCTAATGAACGTGCGAGATGCTGGGTGGCCGCGAGCATGTTACGGTATTCTTGCTTCAAACAGATGACCCATCGACGGCCTTCCTCATCAGCCAGCAAGTAAGGATCTGAAACTTGCGAAAAACTGGACTAGAGAAACATGCAGAGCCAACATTGTCATTCACACCCTTCATGTGTCATCCAGTGCTGAAATGCAAGGTCTAGCATGTCAGCAGGCAGGTGGAGTTACTACCAGGTGTATTTCTCAACATTTTTTTTACCCGAACGTTAGCATTCGGTGGCCCGGCAGCCGCCGTGGACTAGATTGCCAGCCTTTCAGCTAATCTTCCCCAGCATGTGCGCCCACATCCAAACCTAAAGCTGCTCCCTTTAGGCTGACTGATAAGTATGAAATAGGTAGGTGTATTATATATGAGTAGAAGAACGCTGTCAGAATCTCTGCTCCAACCCACCCACAATCCTGCTCATCCCTCACCCATCCTGAACATTCTCACCCTCTCTAGCAGACATACCATTTATCGAACTTACCACCTGCTTTGGCGCAAGCATCTCGAGCCCTGTCTGCTGACTGGGTCTCTTCTACACCTGAGAAGGTGCTGTCATAATCAAAATACCTCATATCACAATACCAATGCTTTTTCCACCCTGTCCCTCTCTCCCATCACGCTTATCACGCGTCCAAGGCATTTTACGGACGGACAAGCATGCCCACATACACAGAGTCATAAACCCCGTAAAGGTAGGGCGTGTGAAGGGGCGTGAGTTAGAGCGCAGCCAGGGCAGATTTCTCACCAACTGCAGCAGGCTAAGACGGCATCATTGGTGAAAAAACCCCTCTGGCCGCGCTTCAATCCACACGATCATCGTTGCACATATGGCAAACCAACTACAGGGCTTGAGCTGTGATGAATTTCGCACAAAGAATGCTGGGTTTACGCATCGACGGCAGAGCTAGTGATCACAAATCGTGGGTAAGGAGCTGAAATAAGAACGCAAAGGTGTCAAGAAATTCAGTAGTAGAGAAAAAAGGAAAAACTGAAAAAAGCTTTGAGTGAAACCCCCTTCAGAGGGGCAATCATCGAGGATGAGTCGCTGGACAACACACAGCGCATGACGCGAAGAGAGGATGCGATTGGAGTGGACTTTTTACGTCCTTTGGCGGGTCTTCCATCATCTTTGTTGGCTGAAGCTAATGAAGCTTGATCAGAAGCGACAAAGGCGCCCTCGTCACTAAGTTTTGTGCCGCGAAACTGGTGCAACCTTTGTAAGTGACGGCCAGACTGTTTGCTCGCATAGGGACAGGGACTTCTCATATGCTCATAGAGCATGCCTTGGAGAAACATTGAACGAGCAAGGAGTGTTGAGACCTGCTTAGCCCATTCGGGAGGCACCGATCAGATGGGATTACGGCAGCGATTTTAAGATCATGTGTGAAACGGTGGCCCACGACGAAGACGTCGGTTCTACAAAACTCCAGTTGTCACGCCTTCAGTGAACAACAGTTGCCGAGAAAGACCTCTCACTGAATCTGGAAGTATGGTCAAATCGTACGAATGCTGCTCCGACGGTTCTTGGCCGTTCGTAGCACACGTGCTCATGCGTGAACATGGTTAAGAGCGCGACGGCCACGACACCCCCCCTCCAAATACGAAGGATACCGACACTCAGGTATAGGCATCAGGCAGTGGCATTCATATCAGCAGTGCCCACGGAACTTCCAAGATGTTTTCGAAAACACATTGTAGCGTGTTTCAAATTTCCCATGCCGGTGGACGCCTTCTGAGTAACCCATCTATTGTATCTTGTAACGCAGCCTTTCTATTTACTTTACCCAGTAGCACCCCTCGATATTTCAGGGCTCGTCGTTTACAATTCTTGCCTTTGATTGCTCATGGTTGTGCTATTGGATTGCCGAGCATGAACGTGTAAGGTCCTCTGAGGTTCAATTGTATTCGAGGTGAACCACTTAAAGACACATGGTACGCTCAAACACATTGAGGGTGTATGAGACTATCAGCCCCCCAGCTGTCGATGTGTCGTGGTCCCCCCCGCCCAAAACTGCACGGGGTCAGAGTACGTGGGAAAGTCGTAATTCCTTGCTACGCCGCCCGTTTTTGCAAACTCACGTTTTTACTAACACCCGTCCGCGCGGCGCGGTCGCGTGCAGCTCTCTTGGCTTTTTGCCAAGTCCTGTAATTGCGCTTTGGAATACAAGTACAACGCAATTTCTTTATGCGGATAACATTTTAGGTTCTGCAAAATAAGAACTGAAGATGATGACGAGGGCTAGAACTCAAGAGCAACTGTGCTGCTTCTGCAACAGCCCAGGCCGCGCATTCCCACAAAACATCAAAATAAAAACGGCCTAAGCGTCCCACTCGTTAGTTTGAAGTATTTCTATAGCATTAGAGCCGGATCGCAGAAATGCACACGCGATTTTAATTTATTGCGTTTCCTTAGTTTTTTCAATTTTGTTTTATTTACATCTACATTCGTTGTTGTTCATTTCT